CCAAATTTAATTATATCATTTTTATAAAAAAAATTAAAATTTAATTATATTCTAAAATATTTATTCACTAATATTATCGATATTACTATCTTTATTGCTATTAGAAATTATTGATATTTGGAATGATTCAATTATTTTAATCAAATTTTGCCTAAATTACAAAATTATTTCTTCAATACATGAAATGCTTTTTTTTTTCTTTTTTTTTTGGTGAAATAAAATGAGAAGAGGAAAATGATATATTTAGTAATGTTACTTGATAAAGAGATAATGTTAGTGATGTTGTTTGATAAGGAGATAATACTAGCGACGTTATTTGATAAAGAGATAATATTAGTGAAGTTATTTGGTAAAGAGATAATATTAGTGATGTTGTGTTATAAAGACATAATATTAGCGATGTCATTTGATAAAGAAATAATGTTGGTGATGTTATTTGATAAAAAGATAATATTAGTGACGTTATTTGATAAAGAGATAATATTAGTGATGTTATTTGATAAATGGATAATGTTAGTGATGTTGTGCGATAAAGGGATAATATTATTGATGTTATCTGATAAAGAGATAATATTAGTGATATTGTGTGACAAAGTGATAATATTAGTGATATTATTTGATAAAGAGATAATATGGTTTGTATATTCTTAATTACATATCTTTTCATATATTCTTTATATACTTTCATATATCCTTTATATTACTTTATATGCTTCATTAATATATAGTTAATTATTATCAATTGAAATGTTGTGACACCTTTACTTTTACCGTATTATGATATCTTATTATTTAATTACATCTTATATAGCACATTAACCTTTTTGATTTTGAACCAAATAATCAACTTATACCAATGTAAAATTCAACAATTATCACCTTGGATTTGATAAAGTGATAAAAATCTGATATATCCTAAATTATCATTAATCAAAATCTTACACGGTTTTTATCATACTACAATGTCCTATCATGTAATTTAAGCTCTTTTCAATTTCAAACTAATTAACTGACTTATTTTTTGCAATATTCAAATGATTCTATATGGTTTGTATATTCTCAATTGCATATCATTTCATATATTCACTTTATTATTATTATTACTTTTAGTATATTTTGTTTTCGAAATTTTTTTCACTTAATTTTTTAAATATAAAAAAGTAAAATTTGCTAATTACAAAGAAAAAAAAGCTCCTTTATTTTCTATTTTTTAAAATCAATCGCTATTATGAATTATTATAAGCAAATACAAAAAGATGATTAATTTTTGATTTAACTAAGAAACTAATTGAAAAATTATTATGGAATAACTAAAAAAAAACATATGTTTGCATGGGAGAAAAAAAAGAAAAGGACCTTATTTCTTTCGATCATTTTATTATTTCAAATTGATATTAGCTAATTAGTCGAGCTAACAGCTAGTGCTAAAAAAAGATTAGAAAAGTATTTCTTTTTGGGTTTTTTTTTGCCGGAAAAAAAAGAATGACAATAAAAATTTGTGCATATAAAAGGAATTTGAACCATTAGAAAATTGCAATAACTCTTTTTTTCTTTTTTTTTTCTTTTTTAGTTCCTCTAATATTTGTTATTTCACTTATATAATTGGTGCTAATTGTTAGCTTGGCTAATTGTTAGTTGTTTTTTTATAATTAATTAGTTATTTCTAGTTTGAAATATTCGTTTTAGCATGGTGTTTTGTTTTAAAGGCAATATTTACATGTTTTCAAAAATTTATCTTTTAATTACCACTCATTTAATTATTTACTAACCATAATTATTTTAAAACAACATCGCAAATTTTTTTTTCTATACCTAAAAAACCAAAAAAAAAAACTAAACTGTACTTAAAAAAAAATGATAAATTATTAATGATCATTCAAAAAATGAAACGAAGATTTTTTTTTTTTTTTTTTGATACCAATTATCCCATAATTTTTTCATATTTTATTTTTGAATCATTAATAGAAAATTTGAATAAAAAAAAAAAAAAAAAAAAGAATTACATTTCATTCGCGAATAATACTTTACTTTATGAAAGAGTACGATTCAATATTTTCATTCAATTAATTTTTTTTTTTGCCTTTTTAGTTTTAATTTCAATAAGTAGAATTATTTTATTTTTTTTTAGAACATGAAGTGCATTGAATTAAAGAATTCTTTTTTAAATGTTAAAATGATTTAACTTTTAAAAATTTTAACAAAATTAATTTAAGGATGGCTAGTTTTTTTTTTTTTTTTTGTAAATTACTTTTAAATAATAATATTTATTTAATAAATGTATCGAGTTTTTTTTTTTTTTGTTCATCAAAAGTACAAAGATTTAATTATATTAAAAAAGTGGGAAGAGCACAACAAAGGTGGAGAGTGGATAAAATGAAGGAGGAAAAAAAAAATTAAAATGGAATGTTTAATACGTAATTTGACAATGTTCATTTAATCATTAATAAATATCTTCTTAAAGAGAAGACTAACTCATTGACATTACTTCCTTGTCAACCTCGTTGATACCGTTTCCATGGGAATATTCTCTAATTTTTAATAAGGCTTAAAAAAAAAGAAAAAATATCTGTTGTTTATTTCATTATTTCATTCATAGGATGTATTAATTTCATGGGATAAATGAACGAATGAATGAATGAATGAATGAATGAATTGAACGACTGAGTGAATGAATGAATGAATGAATGAATGAATCATTAAATAGTACAATTTATTGAATACAAATTATAAATGTATATTAATAGATAATTTAGCAATATTTGTACTTGTTTACTTATTATTATTATTGTTTTTATTATTATTATTATTATTATGACTATTATTATTATTATTATTATTATTATTATTATTATTATTATTATTATTATTATTATTATTATTATTATTATTATTATTATTATTATTATTATTATTATTATTATTATTATTATTATTATTATTATTATTATTATTATTATTATTATTATTATTATTATTATTATTATTATTATTATTATT